CCCCCCCCCCCCCCCCCCCCTGCACTTGCCCTGAGTTGTCGAGGCAACCCAGATGCTCCAGCTTTCCCAGAGTACAACCTCGGCATCAACTATACCAGCGCCATGGATGTCAGTGCCCCGCACATCGTCACCTTCATCCGGTCGAGCCAGCAGGCTGTCACAATCGCTTTCAAGATTGAGGACTTTCAGCACGAAGTGTCACTGAGCGCACGAGGGCCCACCACATCACATCAATGCAATTCCTCGTGCGAGGACAGCACCGGGGCGGTCGTCGTGCCGGAGACGACAGCGACTTTGGCTCAAGGGTTTAGTCTCATGCCTTCCGTGGCCTTAGCCGTCATCCACTGAAGTCTGTCCACCGAATCCAGTTACTGCTTTCTTATTTTTTGGCTGGAGCTAGTTATGCCCGAGGTTGCTGGAGCCACTCACTCCCTACAACGCATTAAAATGACCCGCAGTATCTGCAAAATTCGCCGCTCTAGCATACGTCTGGGTGTGCCAATGGGCCTTGAGAGAGAGAGCTCCATACTTCGGATTAGTGCAATAAAACGGGCATTTGGCCAGCCCAGCCAGCCGACCCGGATGCGTCTTTGACCAGCCAAACATTGGTGCAGGAAGAGCTAAGAGGGCGATAGGGGGAGGGAGGGAGGGAGCGAGGGAACGAGAGGGAAGGGAAGGGAAGGGAGGGAGCAACAGACACATGTCAAGCCATAGCCCCCCAACTGGACGATAATATGGAAGATGGAACTGACTCAATGAAGCCCGGGGCCTGGTGTCGAGGTGAGCTTGCAAGCCCTGAGCGGCACTGTTCCCGACTCATGCAGCTGCCTCCTGGCTGACCATGGCTCTTGGGACTCAGCTTTTCACTCGTTCAAACATGTTCTGCCTTCGTTTTTTGTGCGGCTGTTCTGTTCTGCAATAGCTGGTGTATGCGTTGGCGGCATTTTTGTCCAACTGGGCTCTGGGCCCCTTTTAGTTTTTTTTTGCACTGGGTGGTGCCTTTAGTTTGAATCTTGAAGGTATTTGCAGTTTGTGCTGGCTATATATGATCCCGGTTCTCGGTTCACCGACCC